TACGTCTTCGTTCAATCGTTACACAATGTTTTCGTGATCATTATTTTGATCGAGCATATTATGAAGTAAGTATGATTACTAAAAGAAATTTATATTATTCAAAATCTGTAGAAGATATTTTGACACGATATCTACTTTATATGAAAAGGCTGTTCAATATCTAAGATGATTCTAATTTAATTTAATTAGACATTTCCACCTACTCTCGTTCAAACACAAGTTGAAGGTGGTTCTACTCTTTTTGGTCTTAACTATTTTGGAGAGTCCGCTTTTTTAACCCAATCATCTCAGCTTTATCTTGAAACAGCTTGTCCAGCATTAGGTGATGTATTTTGTATTGCTCAATCGTATCGGGCTGAACAATCACGTACACGTCGACATTTAGCTGAGTAAGTAGAAATAAAAGAGGCATTCGAATTTGCATTCATAAATCTTTGTTAGATATACTCATGTTGAAGCTGAATGTCCATTTATCTCATTTAATGATTTACTTGATCGAATTGAAGATCTTGTCGTTGATGTTGTTGATCGTGTTTTAAAACATCCTGAGGCTCATCTCTTATTTGAAGTTAATCCAGTACGTATTCTAAATTCAAAAAAAAAAAAAATAGTTATTTTATATAAGATTGTTGATTTTTATTTGTAGACATTTAAGGCACCGAAAAAACCATTTAAACGTATGAATTATAGTGATGGTATTGAATGGTTAAAAGAAAATGCTATCAAAAATGAAGAAACAGATAAATTTTATGAATTTGGTGATGATATACCTGAATCACCTGAAAGAAAAATGACTGATCAAATCAATGAACCGATTTTATTTTGTCGATTTCCAGCTGAAATTAAATCATTTTATATGCAACGTGATCCCAAAGATAATCGGTTAACTGAATCGGTAAATTTCATTTTTGCTTCGTTTTTTTCTTTTTTCGTAAATAAATTCTTTTAGGTTGATGTTTTAATGCCAGGCGTTGGTGAAATTGTTGGTGGTAGTATGAGGATGACAAATTTTGAAGATTTATCTGAAAGTTTTCGTAAGAATGGTCTTAAACCGGAGCCATATTATTGGTATTTAGATCAAGTAAGTCATATTAAAAGAAAAGAAAGAAAAATAAGTGTTTTTTTTTTACTCCTTTTTCTTTTTTAGCGTAAATATGGCACATTTCCTCATGGTGGTTATGGTCTTGGTCTTGACCGTTTTATGACATGGTTAACAAACCGTTATCATATTCGTGATGTTTGCTTCTATCCACGATTTATTGGTCGATGTAAACCATAAGATGAAAAATACAATATATCATCATGATGACAACAAACAAAAACGAGAAGAATTCTGGCTTTCTTTTTTTTCATTTAACGTTGTTTCGTTTTTTTGTTCTGTTTTGTGAAAAAGTTTAAGTAAAGAAATAGGTATAATAACTTGTTAATCGGGATCGATCATTTTATTTCTTAAAAAGAAAAAACTAATAAAAAACATAATTGCTTTATATTAATTCTGATGTTAATAATGCAGGAGTCGCATCGATCTATTTGTTCAGATCAGGAAAAAAGCAGAACAATCTTGCAAGACAAGCTAGAATATTATGAAACCGATTCCATTGTTTCTCTGCACGAGAAACTTCGTGTATAAGTTGACGGAGTAATGAGAAATGGATGACCTTTGGTGACGGATCAGTTACTTACTGATAGACTACATCGGGCTCAAAACTTTTGTATCCGGATCCAGTTAACAGACAATTTTCAGACCTGAACTCGATTGGGTTCAGCTCCGAGACCAAACCACAGTGGGGAGCTTTCGCATTAGCAGGCGAACATGCAATTTTTCTGCTCAAACATGGGTTCTATTTGCTCAGAAATTACCAAATACCGCTCAGGAAATAACATTTCAGATAATAATAACTTTAAAAAAGAATTTTCGACGAGAAAAACGGGTGGAAGACCCTTGGGCTTTGAGCAGCTTTCACTTAGCAGCTTCAAATGTGACTTTTCTTCGCGAAAACAGTTTTCCTCTGCTGACAAATTATAGCATATCACTCAGAAAATCATATTCAAGACGGCAAAACATTTTCTGAAAAAAGATTTTTGACGAAATATGCCTGTTGGTTCTCATCCCATATTTTTGTGGGGCAAATATTTTGAGCCTTATATCATTCGATGCAGTTTGATACACTGATTCCGAGTATCATGTTAGTTTCTCTTCGAAGTGAAATTTGGACACCAAAAATGCAATTTTCGACCAAAACCCAGGCTTTTTTGGAAGCCTTTAAGACAGCCCAGGACACATTTGACGGTTTGACGTCACTATCATGATTAGGATATATATATATAGGAATGTCTGGTAAAAGTTTCAGCACTATAGGACGTTACCCCTTCGTAACGTTTCCCAAGCTCAAAGCAGCAAGTTTTCGGGCCAGTATCAGCGTTAGAAATGGGCCACAAGTGTCTTTAAATCTATTATAAATATATGGTTCGATACAGCTCGACGAGCTGATTCTGAGTATCGCCTTAGTTTCCCTTCAAAGTGCAATATGGATGCTTAAAACCAAATTTCAGGCTAGAGACCTCGAGTTTTTGTAAACGCTCTAAAATAGCTTAGAAAAGGTTTCATGATTTGGTGCTACTAGAATTGTTTGAATTCATATGTAAGTATATCCGATCAAAGATTGAGCTTTATCAGTCATCATCTCTTTGTAGCGTTTACAATATCCGAAATGGTAGGTTTTCGATCTAGAAACCTTTTGTTTTCTACTGTATTTGAAATTGTATTACGGTCATTCTTTTTAACATAAAGGCTACAGAGTAGCAAGTTTTTCGTAATATTGTTTGCTTGGGGTTTATTGTGTTTATACCATCATGCAGCACCTAGCCATGGATTTCGAACGCTTTCATAATATGAGATAATGACAGAGTAGATAATCAACGAGGGAATGGTGTTTACGTAGCTGTCTGAATAACCATAATGATAAAATCTTCGATTTGATGCTGTCTGCAATTGCATGCTTAGGATATAATTCGATTATTTCGATTTAATTGGTCATCAGGTAATAACCTGCATTTGTAACAAGTAAATGTAAAAATCTTATGCAACTAACTAATTCGTCATATCTCAGTCGAAGTTTTTTCAAGAAGAATAAAAAAGAAAATGTAAAGTTATAAATATCCATATTTTACAATGCAACAAATAAAATCTAACAAAACGCAAAAGTGACCTGTAGTTGTTATCATGACGCTTTTATGATGTATCATTACTTTGCATTGCTTTATCTAAAAACGAAATTGCATAAGCACGAGAAGTTTAGGACATAAAACTATTATAAACTCACTTAAACAAGAAACCAACTAAAGACGCCATATATTCAACATAGATTTCAACATTACGAACATCTAAAACTCTTCATCCATTTCGACCAAAATTATTTCAACTTTTCCTACATTACCAGTAGAACTCGTATATCGAGTTCTTGCTCATCGTGACGATTTCGATATTTTATGTTCGATGCGAAACGTGTGTACACGCATCGCTGCAATTGTCGAAAGCCGCCATCGATACCAAGAAAAACACTATTATATCAGAAAATTTCATTTTCATCATATTTAACACATTATTCATTTGTATGAAATATCAACTCATACATTGTCACACTAGAGTATTTTTTGGCTAGCCACCTATTACTAGATCAAATCGAATAAATTTGACAATTTGCTGAAAACGATTTATGCTCTTAGGTCCAGTTCAAAACTATGATTGACCACTGAAAATAGTTGGATTTTACTAAAAAAAAGCACCACCCGTAATAACCTAATCATCACCAAAATGAGTACCACTCATTGAGATGACGATAACTTGAAGAATTCAAAACTAATCGTACTTAAAAACTACATTTCAAAGACTACCATTTAGTCTCAAATAATGACAACACGGCTAAGATCGATCCTTTCCGAGAACAATGTCTCTACAAGACTATTCCATTACTGATAAAAATAATACATGAGCAGCCTCTTTTCATTGTACATTAGCTAAAACAACACACCAGATTCTAACCACTTTTGAGAGACAACCAAAGGATTCCAACGGCATACTAACCGTGAAAGCACGAGCAGCTTCGTCAATTGGGGAGAGATTTTCTTCTTTCTACATCAAATAATGGCAAGCATAATTATTTATTATTCAAAAGTTTTTGAGTCGATACAGCACTTCACCATTCATTCCATAAATCCGAAATCCGTAACAAAGATCTCACAACAATTGGAGTGAAATTTACATCTACTACAAGAACCTATATATTTGTTGACATTTCTCAGTACTTTTTTTCTCCAAAAAAAGTTTCCATCTCGATCTATTACATCAAAGATGTCCCGTTTGAAGCAGCAACCACTAACTCCTAGATCTCACTACGATATCCCTTTGTCAACCATTCCATCATCTTAACTTTCTTCTTCTCATATATAGACACTAACTACACTGAACCTTCAATTTAAACGAATCGGTGCTCAAAGAGCACAACATCTTGCCCATGCTTTGCAACGAAAGCGAATACAATTTTAGTATGCTATGGTGACATGGATTGCTGTCAAACTGACTTTCTTGATACTGGACATGAGAATGTGGGTGCAGGCACCAATGCTACTAGATGTTGTGACTTCTGTTCACTCGCACTGACCCCTATTTACAAGCCATATTGTTGAAGGATTTCAATTGTTCTGTTTGTTCAAATACGTTGTGTTTGTTTATTTTCTCAAGATTTGATTTGAAAGAAAAAAACTTTATTTGTTCCTTATGGTCAATCAACGTAGCATTAGTAGAATGCGCAATCAGGATTGATACAAACAAGCGTCTTTTGGCTGAGCTTGGTTTCAAAAAAGGAAACTAGGTTTCTATTGGGTTTTGAATCTTCATCCACTCTATGTAATAAGACGAAGTGATGCGAAGATATTCATCGTCGATGTTAAAATATCTGATCAACGAGGTATGATTTTAGAAACAAGAATGCTCCGTATACATGAACAGATGAATAAGTAAGATAATCATCAAGAGTGCTTTTACTATATTATTGTCTCAGCTATTAAACAGGGAGTAGATGTTGAAAATGATAACCTAACGAATCATTTCACTTTGATGAACGAATAGTGACTATATCGGTATACCCAATCGATATATGGAAAGAAACATTAATAGCATCACAAGTAAAGATTGGTTCATATTTAAAATTCGAGATAATAAGTAACACTGAATACCTATTGAGAGTCATGAATTAAGACTGGATTAAAACTAATGTAGTGAAAATATAAAATATCTTAGCATAGTTAAGAGCTCGAAAATTGGATACAGTCATATATGCATATCTCTATGTAGAACGCGTGGAAAACCAGATCATTCTAGGATGTTTAATAAATATGTAAGAATTTGCGATTGAATAAAAAGTCAAAGTAAAAGTGATTGGATAGTTAAGGAAGCTTCGTCGTTAACTACACTCGATATATGTCGATTTACAACAATGGTTTCAAATTGAATGGATCCTTTTAATAAAGCGTCGAATAAGTATGCATTTAAATATGACGTAAGCCAATGTTTATTCTTTTTCACTGTACTTGCTCTTAGAATAAACATATGCAATTCTAAACCAGTTTTTATGAGTCTAAGTATGAAAATAAAATAAATATATGCAACATCAATTTACTAACCATTACAAGATTTAATGGACATTGTTAATGTATCGTGACCCGCAAAATATCATTTATCATCTTGCGTAACACTTTTCAGCAAATAACTCAACTAATGGATGAAATTTCTTTGAGATTTTATATTTAATATGGACCTTATACATTGTTGGTATTTTCATTAAAACTTTTTAAAAAATCTTTAAAGTAATTTTCGGCCCATACCCATACTACTCCGCAGGGATGGCGAAGAAGTATTTTGGTTATCCTCATGGGGGAGTACCGGTGTGGGTCAAAATTCGATTGAGAACTATCGCCAGTCAACCTTTGTAACATCACTAGAAGCCACTCCTCAGTTGATTTCAACACGAAAAATCGAAGTATTTTACTGGCTGCAAAAGGACAATATTCGCCCTTCTTCTTTTTAGAATAGGCATGATATTCCAAAGATCCATCAGGCTTACAACTAGAGTGACCTCTATGGTGATAACTCTTATATAGATACATGCAAGGAAGTCTTATCTTTGTCATCGAGAAAACCATACTTCGATGTCATTTTGTGGTCGTGAGCTTTTCAAAGATTAAGAAACTTGAAAAAGCCGTACTATATTTAGTACGGTG